TATCGATTATGCAAAGGCATACAATTGTGTGGATCATAAAAACTATGGATAGCATTGAGAAGAACAGGAATTCCAGGACATTTCATTGTGTGCCTACGGAGCCCGAGCACGAATCTGGAGGACATATTGTCTGGTTTCAGGTCGGGAAAGAGGTGCATCTCGGTCGTATTCTCCCACCATCCGTATTCCATTTCTGTGCTGAGAAGATAACCCGAGAAGCTGGATGCTGCAAGGAAGAACGAACTCTGCATCGAGATTGGAGGAAGGCTGCGTGACCACTTTGATGTACAGATGACAGAGCCTTAGTTACTGAACGCAAGGAGGACTTGAAGCACTTGCTGGTGAAGGTCAAGGAGGGCAGCCTTCGGCATGGAATAGAACTTAAGGTAAAGAAAGCCCAAAATTCTCACAACTGGATCAATTGGTGACATCATGAGAAAAGGAGAAAAGATAGAAGATTCTATCAGGCTGGGGTCATGGAAGCCACCGTCATGGGATCAAATGATGCACGACATTGGGTAAATCTGCTGCCCAAGATCTCTTTAAAGTGTTGAAGAGCAAGGTTGTCAAGCCATGGCATTGCTGGCACCTCAGTGTGCCGAACTTGGCGGTGTCTGCAGAATCCTGGTAGATGCCGCTTCCTGGAACCAGGAAGACTGAAGAACAATCAATGCATTCTGAGCGATGGTGCTGGAGAAGAGTATTGAAAGTCCCATGGATTCCGAAAAGGACAAACCGATATTTCTTGGAAGAAGTACAGCCAGAATTATGTTCCTTAATGGGGGTGGGGGGTGATGGGGAGACTTCCTTTCGTGTCCTTTGGACACCTTAGACCTAGAAGTAAAAACACGGAGGACACAGTCGTTGCTACCAGGCGTTAGTACATCTAACTTGACAAGAAAAAGAAACCGTGTCGACCCATTTTTCAATATGGATTTGCTTCTAATAATGGTGATGGTGTGGAAACACTTCTTGACTTCCGTTGTAATGACCTTTCGACCATGGAGAACATGTTACTAACCGCACTGAGACAACATCTTAATAGCAGGCATGCAGCACACTGCAATAAACCAAAGGAATATTTTGAATGATTTTTAAATTTTTCTCAAATGAAGAAAAACATTGTTTAGAAAACGCGATTCCTGTCAACAAAATGTATTTGCTTTCATCTTCTGAAGCGTCGTGTTTAATTGCAGAAACTAAACGCACAGTAGAAAATCTCCTGTTACCGGCTGTTATTAAAATGCCATAAACAGGTCGCGGGAAGAAGTATGAGGATGAAGTTCATAAAAATCCTTTACTGAAGGCTGCTGTGTCCAAAAGAATTTCTGAAATTAGTAGTGACCAACCCCAGCAGCTTCTTACCGGGCTCAATGATAGCCCAACGCTGGTCATTCAGTTAGATGAAACAGCTGGTATTTATAACGGGGCACTGCTCTGAAGGTATGTTTATGTTTATGATGCATACACAAGGAATGACTGTTGTGTCCTCTTTGGAAGGGCACACAAGAGGGGGAAGATGTGTAACTTAAAGTCGATGAATGTTTTGCAAATAGGGGCTTAGAGTAGAAAATGGCATTGGCTGTCTGTGCAGATGGTGCTGGAGCAATGAGGGGCAAGAATGATGGATTTGGAGCAGAAGGTTAAGCTCATGGCAATGTACATCCATCACTTTTACTCGGTGCACGATCTGTGAGGAAGCACTCGTAGCCAAAATATATCGCCAGGGATAGATGTCGCCCATTGGGATACTATCAAGGTCATTAACTTCATTAGAAGCCGTGCCCTGAATAGTCATTTGTTCTCAAACCTTTGTGAAGACGTGAACTCCAATTAGAAAAGCTCATTACTACATGCAGAGATAACTTGCTCTCCAGAGGGCCAAATTTAAACGGGTTATGCAAATTGTTATATTTTTGGCGGTAGAAATTCTGATTTTGCTCATTTTCTTCAAAACGACTTATGGTTTTTAAAATGGTGTTGTTCATCAGGTTTAAAAATTTCATGTTTTAAACATGTTGCATCAAGGAAAAAACTCATAGTGTATTTATGTTAAAAGATGAAATTCAGAGTTTTTTTAACAAGTGGAAGGATAGGGTGGAAAAGGGTTCTTTATAAAATATTTACCACTGCAGATGATTTTATAATTCAACATAATATTCCCAAAGATTTAGTTGTAAGAGTTATAATTGATCATCTGAAGTACTTGGAGACACGGTTTGAGACATACTTCCCTTTAAATTTTGATTCTAGAAGAGTAAATTGAGTGGGCGGGAAGAGAGGACATGACTGAGGGGTTTTGCTATCGGAAGACCAGAGTCACAGCACAATGTGATAAGAGCTGAGTCTTGAGGAGAGGAGGGTCAGCCACGACTGGGGCTCCGCTCTGGCTTTCCCTTGTAAAAACACTCCTTCCTCGTGAGTTCCCTGTCATTGACCAACTTGAGTAGCAGGCTTCACATGGAACCCAGAGCTTGCCTAAGGAATTACTCAGGCAGCTCCACCAATGCCCCGCCGTGTGTATCTGTTTTCTCCAGAAGCTGACAGCTAGACCGCCCCTTTCTACGTGTGTGAATCACATGGAAAGTGTTCCGGATACTGTGGGTTTTCTAGGATCGTGAGATCTCTGGGTGACACAAATGGTTCACACTCGAACACTAGCCTGGCGGTTGGCGGTTGGAGACCATTTAGGGGTACCGCGGAAGAAAAACGTGGTGATCTGATTCCACAAAGAGTACAGCCAAGAAAACCTTATGGGACAGTTCTACTCTGTTACACATGGGGTCGCCGTGAGTCAGAATCATCGCAACAAACCCATCTTCCAGCCCAGAGAGGAGGCATGACAGCTCACAGCAGGAGCTCTGGTGAGGATCCAGGAACCCAGCTTATGAGAGGCAGGGAGGCGGGGTTTCCTCTCTGAGTGATTCTTGTACAAAGGTGACATAGGCCTCACCTGCTTGGGTCAGAGGAGAGATGGTGGCACAGAAATGAAACAATCAGATGATCATTGAAAGGTCAGCGGTTGGAACCCATTAGTTGCTCTGCCGAAGAAAGATGTGGTTGTCGACTTCCATAAAGACTTACAGTCTTCACTCACACCACTGGTCCTGAAGGGATCATCCGCCCTGGATTCCCTGTGTCTCCAGTTCCTATCTGTACCAGTGAACATCCTCTGGTCTAGCCAGACTTGCAAGATAGAATTGGGATCATCATAGTGGGAGGGGGAGGAAGCATTTAGGAACTAGAGGAAGGTTGTAGGTTTCATCGTTGCTACATCACATCCTGACTGACTCGTTTCCTTCCCGAGACTCTTCTGTAAGGGGATGTCTAGTGGCCTACAAATGGGCTTTGAGTCTCTACTCTACACTGGAAGGGTGGAGGGAGGGTAGGTTGGAAAGGGGGAATTGATTACAAGGATCTACATATAACCTCCTCCCTGGGGGACAGACAACAAAAAAGTGGGTGAAGGGAGACGTTGGACAGTGCAAGATATGACAAAATAATAATTTGTAAATTATCAAGGGTTCATGAGGGAGTGAGGAGCAGGGAGGGAGGGGAAAAAGAGGAGCTGGTGCCAGGGGAATGATGAGGGCAATGAATACACAAATGTGCTTTACACAATTGATGTATGTATGGATTGTGATAAGAGTTGTATGAGCCCCTAACAAAACGATTTAAAAAAAAGAAGAAGAAAAAAGACTTACAGCCTTGGAAATCCAACGGGGCCAGTACTCTGTCCTATAGGGTCACCATGAGTAGAAAGGGACTCTATACCCAGGAATGTTTTGGGTTCCAGCCAGGAGTAGCCCATCTGGAGCTGTTTGTGGTACTGAACCCTGGGTGCTACTCTCTATTGCAATGCGATTTCACATTCCATTGGGGTTAGTGGTGACTTCTGTTTACCTTCTCCCAGGAATTGGGGATCCAGTGAGCAGTGACATGAGAGGAAGAGACAAGAGAGAAAACCAGACAGAGTTCTTGTGAGGATCCTAAGGCTGACACATTTCCATCCACTGCTATTGAGTAGCCCCTGATTCACAACAACTCTGTGAATGGTTCCAGAGGGCTTCTGGGGTTAGCGGTCCAACATTTTAACCCACTCTGCCACTCGGGCTCCTTGAGGAATTTCCAAGGAGAAGAAAATGGGGCTATTTCTTTGGTTATCACCAAACAGTTTTATAGCCCCCCAAACCTCTGGGAAATTGACCCCACCCCATCTCCCTCTGGTAGTAAGTCTATAGAAAAGGATGGAGACAAGATGACTACCTGGCTTTCCACACCCCTGTTGGGCACCCGTCTCACTTGCCAGTGGATGATGATACATGAGAGGTGTTCAGCATGTGTTTGTTGAATTGATGACGTGTTGGATGTAAGAGAAAAAGCCCGTGCGGTGGACTAAGAAGACATTCTGCTTTGACCCTTGCCTCTAGCAAGAGCAAAGGGACTAACCTTTGCAGCCCAACTCGGTATTAGGAGTTTAATATTAAGTTCTTTAATTGAATCCTTATCATCTTATTGAAAGAGGAGACTGACCACAAAGTTCCCAATCAAAATCGAGGCTCATAAAGGGTTGCCTCTTGTGGGAGATCACAGGGCTCTTCTCTGGTGCATCTGTGGTTCAAATCTAGGTTTTCCTGACCCCAAAGGTCACATTTTCCCTCAATCCTAGGCTACTTCTTTTATTTCAAAGAAGTTGCTTTAATCCCAGGGGGTACAGAATTCTGGCCATCACAAAGACTGAAGAGCCGCTCTGGCAGGTTCTGGACTGGATGCACTCCGACCTCACAGCTAAGATAGAAAGGGCTGAGTGAGAAGAACTACAGACACAAACCATTGTATGATTCTCCTCCTTTTTGACAAAAGTTTATTCTGAAACGTACAGCAGGCTCCAAGACAACACTTCATTCTCACTATAGGGGGCAGCAGTTACAGCGGGGAATCCAGATGTTTACACAGGGATGGAATCAATGGTCATCTTTGCCTCAGTCCCCCCAAACAGCTCACTTTGGGCCAGATTTCTTCATTCCACCCGTGGCCGGAGACCCTTCCCTGCGGCCTTCGCTTTGAGCTCCTTGCGTTTCTTCGGCTCTTCTTTCCGTATCCTCCTTATCTTCCTCATCCGCTTCCTTGGTCTGCTCCTTGGGTTGTTTCAAAGACTTCTTGCCACCTTCGCTGCCCGACATGGTGCCTGCCACCCCTTCCTCAGACCTGCCCAACTAATGCTTCTCAGGCAAGGAGAGAGACACACATCTATTTCATAAAGGGAGAATGAGATTGCAATCTTGGTTCATGCCTGAAGGTCATGATAAAAGGTCGGAGCGTTGATTTTGTGACAGTACCTATTGCTAATCAAGATTTGGAACCAGGAGTTTAGGTCCAGGTTTGGGAGATGGCAAAAGAGGATGGGCTCCAACCGCAGCAGGACCCAGTCTCCATGCTTCCTTAATGGTCCAGTCTGGACAGCATGACTAATAAGTAGCTTCAGATAGCAGTAGTTGCATGGGATGCCAAACAGGGGACAAGATCTAGTTCAAGTGATGTGATGGAAGGATTAGCCTTAGCAGTGTTGGAATACCTGAGAAGCAAGGTAAACACAGGTTTAATGACTAATGTGCAGTGAACAATTTTACTTTCCCCCCACCACATCAAAGATTCTTCTAAGGAGGCAGTACAAGACGGCGGTGTACTCGGGAGTCTCATAAAGCCCTCTTACAATAAAGGCCAAGGAAACAATCAGCTAGGCTATAGATGAGAATTTTGGAACCCCGAGCATCAAAAGCAATGGTGAAGAATTGAACCAAGTATCCAGTGGAAGGAGAGCTTGTACAAAACTAATGGGCATACAGAATTATTGCTCACTGGTGCCTTGCACAGGGACCCCTAGGGGTGGAGTGGGTCACTAATTTGAAACCACCAGTCGCTCAGCAGGAGGAAGATGAGGTTTTCTATGCCTGTGTGCTAGTCTGGGTGCTTTAGAGAAACAAATCCACAGAAACTCATG